CCGCAGCCGGTTGGCGTAGTTTTGGCATCAATTCCGTTGTACAGACCGACGTTAACAGCAGCCCTGTCTGTGCAACGGAGACCGAGTGACCTCTGTCGTCCGGTGATCTAAACCGCTCTTCTTGGAAAAGCTTCACAAGTACGTCGGTACGCAAATGCCGCTTTGTGGACACAAGTGAAAGTACGCATTTCAGATTACGCACATAACCAGTTATGTGCACCTTACCGGTGCACCCCTGTACTACAGCAAAGTATTCCTCCGTAGGGACTTCCAGCAACAACACCACGCCGTTACTTGATTCTGATTGGCCAGTAAGACATTATCAATAGATGTTCTATTGGAAGACGATCGACATAATTTTTATGACAAAAGTTTTCAAACTAGATTACCATTTCTTTATGTATATTGTTGTGGGAATGGAAAGATAAATGAAATCAATCTTACTAACTGCTGTCTGTGCAATTCTCGGCGCGAGTTGCCCGACTTTATTTTACTTACTTTAACATCATATTTCTTGGTATGGGTGTAGCCAGCGGGTGTAGGCTACCCCAGCCATACCCTGGCGCTGCCACTGGTGGGATGTATGGGGCGGGCCATTCTGCACATGCGTTAAATGCGTTAAATATTTTAACGCAATTAATTCAAAAAATGAATTACCGCCGTTAACGCGATAATTTTGACAGCATTAGTTTTAACCTTTAAAAACAATCTGTGGTGAAAATACTACGCGTGGTCAGTGCAGGGTTACAACCATTACCTCACATTCTGTAAATAAAGGCCCAATTTAGGCAACTACTTGCAGGCAGCAGTTATATACATAAACACAATCTGTTGACATCTAGATTTTGTTGGCCAAAAACTAGACATATGAAATATTAAATGTTGCCTTAATTCCTTTGTGGCCATTAGGGGGCAGAAATACTCAAATGTGAGGTAACACCAGAAATCATTCATATCTATCTGCTTGATGGATCCAACCTCAATATTCACTTTAAGCGATTGTGAAGTCTTCACTAACACACAATATTGTTTAATTGCTAAATGTTTTGCTTTACGTAACATGCACCCACAGTTGAATGCTATTTTGAGTAGGAATGCAGCTAAAAATATTTCTCAGTTTGAATGTATCCGTCAATACGTTTCTAGATTTATTTACTAACTCTTTTGGACCCATCTGAAAAAAGTTAACTGTGTCCATCCAAGTTAATCAAATGCAAAGGTGATGTCTAAAATATGTTGTTTTGTTAATTTGATACCCAAATATTATTTGATTTATATTATATAATAAGTGAAAAAAGTAAGATATCTCCATAATAAAGAGGCTGAACACAGCATATTCTGCCATTTTTTAATGAAAAATGACTTGAAGATTAAGGTATTATAAAAACAGTTGGCCATTCATTTTTGTAAATTGGCTCAACAATTAGATAAATAATCATTGCAGGCTTACTGGGAGTATGTCTTCCTAGTATTCACCTACTACTAAAAACTGATACCACATTATTCACAATGTTTCAACATTTACAAGTACAAGTAGTACAACCTGTATTACAGATGGCCGTTGTTATGCTTGGATCAAGATACAAATGTCAAAGGGTCACTATGGAGTTGGTGTCAGCATTATGAGATGTTTATATTCATCAGGCCTTTGGACCAGCTGTTGTCCACCTCAAACTGGCGCCACTCTACACTGATGACATCTAAATATGCAGAGTAGACATCCAGCCACATGTTGTACTGCCTGCTGACAAAATGTACTTTATCAAAGCTATCATAGTGGCTGTACATTTTAATGAGAACAAATTAGATAATAGCATAACTTCTGTAGTTAATGCATTATGACCAGAGGGCTTCACATCATCCTTTATGTGTTTCCTGCATGCTTGGTTAGCCCACAGTGTAAGTCGTTCTCCAGACAGATAGTGGTTTTTCTGTCATTTATTACCTGAAGTTGTTGAGCGTGTGCAAACAGTTGCTAAGGTGATAATAACATGTATTGCTCTATCTATTACGTTAATGCCGTCGCATAATCTCTTTGTGCTTCCTGTTTGCTAGAGGGCTCTTTCTCATTCGCATGATATGGGATAAAAGCTCAGAGCAGGCGGCTGCTGTCATTGTCTGTGTTCTTTACGAGTGGTTCCCTAGGTGATTAATAGTTGTGCACAACATTAGCTGCAAAATGCCTCGTGATAGAGTGCAAATATACCATTGTCCTTTTTATATCAGGCAATTTGAATGATTAAACATGCAGACTTTTTTTTTAGCTTGCTCGTAGGTGTGTTAATACAGTGCTCCACTTGACCTTTGATCTCCATGTAAGTCAATTGACCAAGTATGTGTGACTCCTATAATTCCCATAGAGTGTCATAATAAATGTGTTATCACCACATGTTATTTTTCAATAAGGACAACCCATTTGAGCATGTTTTTCCAATAATTTATTTAAGTACATACAAATAAATACAACATATAATTAAATAAATATTATATAATATAAATTAAATCTCTGTTTTTCATTGTGTTGGGTAAAAAAACAAGAGATATATTACAGGCAAATACATTTAAATAAATACAAAATCATAAAGGACCATACAAGCCTGTTCACAAAGAGTTTAAGACTTTAACTGAGAAACATTGCACACCACAGCCACAAAAATCAGTTCATGGCAAATAAAAGTGCTTTCTTCCTTTCTTCCTGTTTGATTGGCACTCAGTCTGTTGTACCGTTATTGAATTGTAATGTCCAAACTTCATCTGTGTTCACACAACATTTCACTCAAGGGATCCACCGTTTCCCCTTTCTCTTCAACCTTCGGGCATCTACCGAACACGGCCATTTACGGCCGCTCCTGGAACAATCCGACGTTTCTGTACCAGAGACCAGCTTCATGGTGCAGTACCTAACGTTTAGCTTTGCCTTCTCAACCATTGAGGGCGATCAACTAAGAACACTCCATCGTTTAATGGAGAGAGTTCAGGGCTTCTTGGTTGCCGTGGCGCTGGGTTTGGCTTGGCAAACTAAATCCCTGTAGGCTTGTGAGCGGAGGAAGCGAGGGTAGCAGTCTTTAGCCATCAGCATGTAGATCTTATGCTGGGCCGGGTCGAAGGCATCGGTTGACGGCTCCTGGATGTTTGCTCTGGTGATGTCACGAGTTTCATGGTCAATGTTAATCTATAAAAGAGACAAGGAGACATCATGATTAGTTACTTAGAGGCTACGGGAATACATTTGTTTCTTGGGTCCCATCATCTATAAGGATTAATATTTTACTCGTTTGAGATGGATGCTTTCTTACCTCTCGTGGAGCATCAAAGCCGATGAATTCATCGTAGATCTTCTGGGCTTTGGCTGGCAGTTTGGCAGGAGACTTGGTATTTCTGTAGTCTTCACACACAAAGTAGAAGGAAATGTTCTCCTCGCTAAACTCAGACACCAGGAAAGCTGTGAAGGCACACAGTCCATCTGAAGAAAGAGAGGATATTTGATTAGTTAAAGCACATAATTTTACTGCAGGGGCTGCATGTGGCATGCATTTGCGTATGTTTTTTGGTGTGCAGATGTATCAGACTTTTTATTTATACTTACATTTGCTTGACAAGAGTTTTTCAAAGGACTGCTTCCACCCAAGGCATTCCTCCAGGGTTGGCCTGAACACAAAAGAAGCAAGATTAGTATAAACCAATAATTGTATTCAAGCTCACAATACATTTCAAATGAATAGGTACTAATAAACAGTACAATAAATGTGATGCTTACTTGTTTTTCCCCATTTTGCTGCAGGATGTATTCCAATGCGAATTCAGCAAAATGCTTCTCAGTCTTTCTTTTAGCTCCATAGCCCTGTTAGAAAAAAAATAAAGGTTAGTTTTATATTTCACACTACATTGATTGCATACTGACACGTCATTATTCTTCAGTAAAATTCAGCACTGCATTTATCCACACTGAGTACAAAGTCTCCAATAAACATAAGCTCAGACCAGCACTCTTATAGCGTCTTAAAGGTTCTACACAGATACACAAAGACAGTGTTTTTCATATCCCCAAACATCCACCATGCATGTAGCTTCATGTACCTTTCTAAGCAGCTTGCAGGCAGTGATGATAGTCCTTTGCACATTCTGTAGCAGCAGGTTGGAGGTAGTAGAGGTGATATGTCGTTGAGATGGCAGTTAAATATCCGTTTAGAGAAGCTCAGTAGGGAGCAAGGTTGTCTGTGTGTCGGAACAGAGCCACAGCAGAGACTTTATAGTCCTACCTCCTTTGCTTCGTACATATCACAAAGCCTCTCATCCAATCACAGAGAGGTAGAGGGAAAGAGAGAGAAGTGAGAAAGTGGGGGAGGATTTGCAAGGACAAGGCTGGGGAATTACTGAGTTGATAAAAGCCACTGATGAACAGTACACTGTTTTTCTTGCCTGTCCCTGAAAACACAGCGGTTAAGCTTTAAGTTTTTTCTTTCCACCCTACTCTTTCAAAACAACTCAGTTACACACATGAAAAAAGAACATTTGTGCCAGTGTGTTAATGTGACAATAACATAGCCACCTTTTATATATATTTTACACATACAATTAAATGTTGCTGAACATTTTCCTCAATAAAACAATGACCCCAATTTAAAGTGGCTAGGATCTAATTTATTTGCTATATTTCATATTTTATTATTCTTTTTTTTAAATACATTTTAGCTTGAAAGTAGTTTTTTATCATAAACAACAACTGTGAGTTTCCCCTGTATGCATACAATTTTCAATCCAAACAATCTGTATGATATATCCTTGCAAGAATATATGCTAAGCACACCCTGTGTGGTCAAATCGTTTCCTGTCAGCTTGTTTGCGCCTTTGTTCACATTTCCTGGTTCTGTTTTACACAAATAAGAAATAATTGAAGAAATGCACAAACCTCTTCAGTGGACACACACAATAACACCCAGCCTCTTTATGGACCTGATAAAGGTGCTCACTCCAGGGACTGATCGGAAGGAAACGTGTTATTGACTCTGTTTGATTACATTACTGTAATCAAGCGGGAGGTACAGACAAATGCTTGACACAATAAAGCTGAAACATCTCCCATATGGCGAGCTGCGATTTTGTTTATCTAGGATTTGATCATCATATAATTCTAATTAGAGTAGCAGTAGAAAAAGTAAAGCAATATTTGACAGAAGGATGGTAATAACTTACACATTATTTGAACTGTGTAGTGTTGTCTGACATATTTCCAAAGTAGTGAAGTTGAGTTGAATTATCAGAAATCATTCATAAAATGTTTTGCTGTTATTAATTTGTTGAAGTTTACTTCAATGGTACAACAAGACCCAGATAAGAACAATAAAGGACCTCCAACCAAAAACAGTAGAGACATTGTATTGAACCCGTTATGCAAGAATATTGCCATTGGCACTTCTGGGAATTGAGACCCAATAGTGTGATAAAAGGACATCTCTATAAAAAGCACTTATTATCAAATGTCAGTGGTTTTTCTAAGAAATATGAGATAACATTATTTTTGCTTTAAGCAGCTGTTGGAGATTCAGGGATGTCAGCTTGTGTCTTCTCTTAAGAGAGAAGGTAAAATGCTAAAACATTTTTTTTGGTACATACTAAAACAGGGAACTGTTTTTATATTTGAAATAAACTATAAGAGTGCACCGCAGCTGACCAACATAATCACACGCCAACACAAGTAAGAAAGAACTTCCTATATTATTATATATGTATAAAAGGCTACATGAGGGTTAGGTTTACTGGGATGGGTACGAGGTTTTAGGCACTGCAACTTGAAAAGGAGAACAAATTGTGTCTTTGTTTCTAGTTCAGTTTCTACAGCAGGAGGGCAGTTACTGGGAACTGGGTCAGGATGCAGTGCACATGTTCTTACCCATGGTCATGGTTGTAATGGTATCTTGACAGCAGAGCACAGAAGAATAAACTCAATCTCAAGTTTTGAATACACAGGCAATACGTTTTGTAATGGAATCCAGATATATTGGGTTGATTATTTTAATGGCATTTTTATTTATTTTTGTACTCAATTTTAAACATTAGCATGAATACACACAATATATATATGTAAATATATTATTATTATTATTTTTCTCTGAATGGGCCAGGACAGAATTTGTTCTTTTACTTGTATTTTACCTTTATGTTCATTGATTATATGTTTTACTAAAATGTTGTATGTAGGACTTTTAGTTTACTGGATTTTTACAATGTGGTTTAACAATTTTTACTTAAGTAAATTATTTGAGTATTTTTTCTCCACTGAACGGAACTGACCAAAAAGGACTTAAATATGACTAAATATAACATTTCCGACTAAGATAACACTTGGTATAAAGGGAGTGTGTGCAACGGGCATTTCCTGTGTCCCCAAACATATTTAGCTAGATCTCACAGTGTACCATGACCAAGTAGCACTGGTCAGTTTGAGTCAGGTATGTAGATTGGAAGGCTGTGGCTGTGGAGGAAGATAAATGCAAAGGCATTACCTAACCTGTCCAGTTTCATTGTGTGGGGAAAGATTTAATTGCACCATTTTTACTACCGGAAGAAAAACAACATAAGGTTAGCCTGAGACGCCGGGGGGGGATCCCGGCCACCCACTCACCTACTCACCTACTCATACGGTGATGTCAGCACGCTTCAGCGCATTTGTCAGCCCTGTTGAAAAAGGACAACCGGAAACAGGAGGAAAAAAAGCAAGGGAAGGAAAACACATTGTGACGCGAGGGACTTTTCTGAAAGCCGGGGATTCACTGTCCTTGATGCTAGCTGACACAACAGTACAACACGCTTACACAACATTAACGTTATTTAACTCCTTACGTCACTATGCGCACCAACACTATTTTTATTATACCTATTTAACACTCTTACTCTTAGATACTCAGAACTGGATGATAACCTGTTCTGAGAAACATGAGACTTCTCCATTGATCCGTTTGTAGCTTTAGTCATTATTACAGACTAAAGTGATATGTGAGATAAAGCTCTGAAAGAGGGCTTTCATTTCCTATTCTCAGAAATACTCTACTGGCTAAATCCCTATCTGAGATCTCAGCAACAGAGAGCTCCATTGTTGGATCAGACATCGTCTGGTGATGCTGTTTGTTGCCACTCGACTATCATGCATCCATTCACACTGATGTCCCACAAATGGCTCGGTTTTAACTGTATTTTCTTTTAAATTCATGAATTTTTCTTTCAGTGAATTGCCATGAATGACAAACCCTGTGTTATGAATTGTCACACTAAGTTTCAAGGTTGAAAAGTATGGCTTTCTGAGAAAACCCTTGTGCATCTATGACTAGAAAGATTGATTTTATGTTATCTATGTTTACAACCAAATATAATACTGTTTTACCCTTGACAGATTGATGTGTCCGGTTTGCTTACTCCAATGTGTCAACAGAAACGGAGTATTGTAAGGTAGGACATATTTAAAACATTTATTGACATGACAATCTTCGTACACCAACAGCTACTCAATGGCCTATATTAGCGGCATTTTGGGAGAAAACTGCTGGAAATGTTTTCCGATCACGGCAAAAGGCTCCATATGTTAGAAGCAAGAGTTAAAGAGCATCTTGCAGGTTTTTTTTTTTTCTACACTTATGCTTGAACTTGCTTGAAAATTACAATTAAAAAAGTGAATGTAGGATTTGATATGTTTTACGAGGTGTATATCATGTCCCGGTAACTGTGTTTTGTCGGGTATTTGGTCCCAATAACGATTTATCAAACAATAGACGATATAAAAACTTTTGAAAGAGGCGTTTTGTCGTTTGTTCCGAACATCCTCAAAACCCGTTTACAAACATTAGGTAACTCATAATGACCTGCGAGTCAGACAGTCACGTGATATGTAAACGTGTATTTTTCTGTACAAACTCAAGTGAAGTCACACACCTCTTACTCTTGTCGCGAGGCACACACAAGGACTTCTATTACGTTTGAATACAAACAGCTTCTCTAAACGTAGCACGTAGTGTTTTCGTTTAGTTCGGTTAATTGTCGATCAATTATGAGTAGACTTTTTTTCCACCGTCGGAGGACAACTTCGTACACTCTTGACTTTACATGACGGCCTCGAGTCATAAAAGTCGACTTATCAGTGGAGTAGTTATCTTTCTTTTCCTTGTCTACAAGTTGTCATTTGTAGTAAGACTCTTCTCAACTACACGTTTGGACATAACGAAGTATAGGGATTATTTGGATTGTCATATGCAATATTTCAGTGCAAAAAAATGAAACGGTTCCTCTTTTTTCGAAAATCAAACCAAACAAGTAAATAGTCGTCACCAATGTCTTATTGATGATCCGGGTAAAGTCCCTTTGAACCACCTTGTAACATTGTACCCAATTCTTGGGTATAGTAGTACTTACCTTTAGTGGAACGCTGGTTGTAATATTGTATAAAAAAAAAAAATTAACTACTCGTCTACCATAACGTTTTTAAAATCGGTAAAGATGTATTTATTTGGACCGTTGTAGTAAACCTTAAAGGTGTTATGACGCCAGTTGGCTTTTCTACTAAGGTACTAGGGGTCTAAAAACACCGTATTGGCGAAGGTTGACTGGGGTTAAAGTGACAGTCTTCAAACTTTACGTAATATTAAGTGTTCCCTAAAGACAATACTACTAGTTTCTTGTTATATAGAATCTAACGTTTGTGCAACCGAAGATCAATTTTTATTTTCGTACTTGGGATGAATAGTCTACAATATATAACTAACATGTGATTGTAAAACCTATTATGACATGTATACTATAGTTGTCCCATGCCCAATCGCAACACGTGTATGGTCCTTCATTTCTAAACGGTCACAATCGTCAGTTCTCATCCCATCCCGTACGCGTTCATTGTCTACCAAAATCGGTAAACCTTTAATGTCATTGTGTCTTATGGTGTGTTTTTAATGTAAAACCTGAGACACAAAAGATACACTTACTACCAAACCAAGTCAAGGTCAGTCGTGGGGCGGCCGGGGCGGCGCTCGCGGCGCGCCGCCGGGGGGGCCCCGACACAAAGGTTGTGCCTTTATTTTCATCCATAGTTCCTTGCAGTAGCCTACATAGGTATTAAAAGGAGATACCTTTTTACGTTGGGTACTCCCCGAGTAATTGTATAGGGACTTCTCTCTTACCGTTGGTTGCCACAAAAGAGTTATTAGACGTCGTTCCTGGTTCTTTACTCACTTGCACAAGTGCGA